CCAGCTCTACACCTTGTTATCTCATCAATGACTTTCCCTGCATCTTAAGATCAGAAGTAGAGATATTCCCCAAAGGTTGCACATTGTTCAGCACCATTCATTACTCCTCAGATATTGAAGCAGTCCATGGTTCAAGTGTGATAAGATCTGGACAATATCCAGGCTTGGCTGACAAGTGGCAAGTGATATTCATGCCACACAAATACCAGGCAATGACCATCGTCAATCAGAGATAATTTAATCACTCATCCTTGACAGTTAAAAGCATCAGCATCACTGAAACCTCCAACGTCAACATTGTGGGACTTAGGATGAGCCATTGATCAGAAACTGAACTATATAGTGGCTACAAGAGCAGGTCAGAGGCTAGGAATGTTGCACCTCCTGACTCCCCAAAGCCTGTCCACCGCAAGTCAGGAATGTGTTGGAATACTCCGCACTTGTCTGGAGGAATGCTGATCCAATGACACTCGATAAGCTTGACACTATCAAGGACAAAGCAACCTGCTTGATTGGCACAACATCAACAAGTATCCATTCCATCCATCACTGACACTCAGTAGCAGAATAACTATCTACAAGATGCTCTGCAGGAATTCACCAAAGTTCCCTAGACACCTCCTGCCAAACCCTTGACACCTTCCATTTAGAAGGATGAGGCCAGATACATGGGAAGCCCACCATCTGCATGTTTCCCTTCAGGCCACTCACCATCCTGACTTGAAAATATATCGCCATTCCTTCACTTTTGCTGGATCAAAATCCCGGAATTCCCCCTTTAACGGCATTGTGGGTCGACCCACAGCAGGTCGATGGCAGCAGTTCATGAAGGCAGCTCACCACGACCTTCTCAAGGGCAGTTTGGGACAGGCAATAAATCCTGGCTAGCCAGTGACATCCATGCCCCAGAAGTGAATAAGTTAAAAGGAAGTGTCATGTCTATATAAAAGGAGTTTCCTCAAAATGGTATGTGAACTAAGAACTGATATGTGTGTATGCAGCTCTCTTTCAGCCTGCGTGCAATTAAAATTAAAAATACATACCCACCATTGAAGCAGTAGTCTTAAACTAGAAGAAAGGATTAGTTTATTGAAAACTACAGCAATAGCTATTCAAGAAAAAGTTATAATATTATTAGCTAAACTACATGTACAAACATTAAAAGTAGGTAAGGACGAAAGGTACTTAAAAAGATTAAAATAAGATCAATCCTTGAGATTGGTGAAGGCCTATTGCTTTGTGAAGTAACTCTCTCTGATGTGACAGGGTTAAAACTTGAAGGCAGATTCACCAGCTATGGTGGTTTCTGTAGATGAATAGTTGGTGTTTGTCCTTTCTGGTGGAACCAGCAGGTTTGTAAGTTTTGGGAGGAAGGGAAATTTTCCTCTTTGTCATTAGTTCTGCTTGCAGAATACCTGGACATTTTCAGCAGAGAAGCAGTCAATTTATGAATACCTTCCTCTTTGTGCCCCTGTGGCCCAGGACCCTCTCAAATGATGCCTCTCAGAGCTCTTCCTGGGCATCCTGCACAAAATGGCTATTCCTGGCCAGACTTTATACAGGTCAAAATTCAACATGAATGCACGTAACATCCAATGAGTTGTTGGCTTGGCATTTTATTGGAACAGTCGTGCTGGAATCCTGTTGAAGAACCTTTCTAACTCATTAACATTTTCATAGAAGCTATGAGTTTTTTCACCTTTAGAAGATTTAATAGCCATCCCTGAAGGAATCTTGCCTTTTAATAACTGATTAACTCCAAAGGAAAGAGTCTGACAAGGTTTAAACAAGCACCAAAAGGTGCCAAAATGTCTGTCCATACCTGTATTTTGAAAAATTTTAAACACAATTTATAGATTCGAGAGCAAGGATGTACCTTTTAAAGTTGTTGTCTATAAAATCTCTAACATCGTAATTGCCCATCGTAACACCTGATTGACACTACCTCTCCCTCCAATCTGTTTAATTGTCCCATAACATTAATTAAAGCTAAACGGAACTACTTTGGCATTTGGAAATCTCTAGAATGCAGATAAAAATAAACTTTAGAAAGTGCTCAACAATTGAAGAAAATATTGAGGTGTTTCTCTTTGGTAAAAGCAAAACATTATTACCTTTATATTTCAGTGAGATAAGCTAAAACAGATTTGATATGAGGTTAAAAAAATGTGTGGGAGTGAAGTTTCCACTTCAATTGCAATTGCTAGGTTTGCGCCAGTGCTCAAAAATAATAGATTCCTGAAAAATATTTATTTATTTATGCAAGTCTGAATATGATAAAATAAACAAAGACCCACAGATGCTGGAAATCTTAAACAAAAACAGATATTGCTGGAGAAACTCAGCATTTGTGGAGAGAAAGCAGAGTGAATTCTGATGAGCCTTGTTCAGAACACTTCACCTGTCTCAGCTTAACTGCTGCTGAAATGTTCCTCCATGGTTTTGTTGCATATGGGCCTGAGTCTACCAACATCACCCTGGTCAATCCTAACCCAAGCCATAACCCTAAACTTAACCCTTACACTAATCCTAACCCTAATTCTAATTCTAACTCTAAGTCTGGACCACACTCTAACTGTAGCCCTAACCTTAGCCCTAACCCTAACCCTAAACCTAGCCTTAACTCTAACCCTATTCCTAATACTAACACTATCTCTAATCCTAACCCTATCCCTAATCCTAATCCTAACCCTAACCCTAACCCTAACCCTAACCCTAACTCTAGGCCTAGCCACAACCCTAAACCTAACCCTAGCCCTAATCCTAACCCTAACCCTTACTCCACACCTAACCCTAACCCTAACCTTAACCCTGTCCCTAATCCTAACCTTCTGCTCTCCCTAAACTTGAGGTTGTCCAAAAGTCTGCTGCACCTATCATGACCTGCACTGTGTCCCATTTGTCCATCATCTTGTTCCCACTGACCTGTACTGACTCCCAGTTCAACAATATTTCAACATCTATGCAGACCTAAAATTCTCTGAGATAGTTGCACTCTTCCAATTCTGTCTCTATGTGTACTAGATTTCAATCATGCCACTAGTGGTGACTGTGTCTTCAAATACCAAGACCCTAAGCTCTGGAATTCCCTCCTGTAACTCCTCTGTCACCCTGTATCTCATTCCCTTCTAAGATGCTCCTTAAAACAAACCTCTTTGGCAATAGAGATAGTAGGAATATTTGTCTAAATATTTTTTATGTGACTGTACTAGATTTAGTCTCGCAATACTCCATGAAACATTTGCAATGTTATACTGTACATAAATAAGTGCTACATAATTAGGAGTAGTTGCAAAAAATTACTTTAAACATTTCCTTTTTTTTAATGTGGTTATTAAGACAGAGAAACAGAAGTAGGCCGTTCAGCCCATTGAGTCTGCTACACCATTCAATGAGATCATGGCTGATCTGATAATCCTCAACTCCACCTTCCTGCCTTTTCCGCATAACACTCGAATCCTTTAAAGAAAATTACAATTTTTAATCAGCATCAAACCACTTCCTCTGAATAACCTGATTATAATTTTCCGAAATTCACTTCTTACAAAATTCTGAAACCTTGTTTGTTCTATCAGGGTACATTAGTCATTTTCTTAGTGAATTTGTAAAGTTGCCATAGTCCCAACAGACCATATGGCTTTCTCATTAAAAAGAGAGATATGGCGGTTTAACCTGAGAGTCACCACGCCTCAGGTAAGGGGAGAGGATGAGAAGGGGAACCCTTCATGGTAACCTCGGCTGGTGTGGGAATCAGACCAATGCTGTTTGTATGACTGCATTGCAGACTAGCTATTCTGCCAACTGAGCTGCATCCATTTTTTTTAGTGGAAAAAGCAGAAATTATACTTGAAAAGTAACCTTTGGTGTCTTTGGATCCAAAAGAACCAATCAAAGAATCAATAAAAACTCAATGGGTTTAGTAATATCCTTCAGAGAAGGAAGCCTGATGACCTTACCTGGTCTGGTATGTTTTGGTAGTTATTCATGATTTAATTGACATGATTACATGGTTTTCTTACTGAACAGGAACGGAACTCCTCAGAAAATCTGAGAGGATTGCTTACACATCCCTTGGCGTGTGCACATTTTATGCCTTTGGTTACATGCTTCTACCACTTTGTGCATATTACATCCGAGACTGGAGGATGTTACTGCTCACTTTGACTCTCCCGGAGATTCTATATGTCCCTCTTTGGTTGTGAGTAAATTCATTGCTCATTGATTTAGGTTAAATTGTCATGTCAGAGTAGGGTATCTCCCATTTAAGACAGAGGATCATGAATCTTTGGAACTCCCTTCTCCAAAGAGGAGTGGAAGTCGGGTAATTGAATATTTCTAAGGCAGAGGTAGGTAGATTCGTGACTGACAAAGGAGTCAATATTTATCAGGTGGAGGCATGAATGTGGAGTTGAGGCCACAATCAAATCAGCCAGGATCTTGCAAACAGGTTCATTTTGATAAAAGACAGCCCTGTACCAATTTTAAGCTGTGGGTGGCCTGAACAAGCTAAGGATCAGACTTCTGCCCCTCACTGAATGAGCACCTGGCGTCAATAGCTACTGGAAGATCTGATTGGCCAGCAGTTCCTGAAATGATATGACGCTGTAACTAGGAGTTGATTTGTTATAAATGGAATGCTAATCTGTTCTGCCGTCATGATCTGTCACTGTTGCACTGGTCAGCTTTTACTCTGAAGCAGATATTTCCTTATGTGGTGATGCTTTTGCTAACTCACAGAATACAAAAACTAGACATGAGTTAAATAGTACTAAAACATTCAGTGAAAGTTTACTATGGCTCCTGATATCTACATATACATCACAATTGGGCAATGTCATATCTGGGCTAGGTCTGAAAAATTTGGTCACAAATTGTTGCACACTTCCTTCATCATATCATGTTGCAAGTGGCCCCATTAAGATGGAGATTGTGACATTTATGCCATCAGCTCATTCGTCATAGCATTCTGATAATACCATGAGCGTGCCTTCAAGGTGTATTGCATACTAGCTTTGAGACTAGTTATGAGGGGCTGAATGGCCTGCTTCTGTTCCTATAGTTCCGTATTCTTATATTCCAATGTTCCTATTTGCCTATGAGACATAACACAACACCTCTGGCAGTTCCAGCTGTGCATGAGAGTGCTGAGTGCTGCTAGGATAGTAGGGAGGCCCAGGGACAAGTGTCATGGATAGCTAAGTCAGGTCTTTATGCCAGGGAGAGATTGGGCATTAATTTGGAGGGAGGTTTTTGGAGGCCAAGTGTGAATGTACAAAGGGGAGAGCATGATCTTAGAAGAAGTGGTCCAGCTGCAGAGAGGGCATCCCAAAAAGATGCAACACCCCCACCCTTGCTCCTTGCCTTTTCATCAACTTTGGGGATAATATGGACTCGCCACTGTTGCCTACCTTGCATTGCTGTGCATATGTGTATATTATGGCAGTGGGGGAAGATTAAGATCCTGCCACTTAAGGCCCTCAATAAGCCTAAAGGCAGACAAAGCACTAGGCTCACATTCTGCTCTTCTCCCTGAACCTGTAATGTAGGGAGAGGGTTGAGGGTTAAGTAGGAGGGCAGTGGGCTATCTACCTGTTGTATATAGTATGCCTCATGCCACACTGTGTGTGGTGGCTAGAGAATATACACTCAGTTTGCATAGGAGAAGTTACCTTTTCTTATTTACCGAGTTGTTACTTTAAATTGTAGGTATGTACCTGAATCTCCTAGGTGGTTGCTCACACAAAGTCGTGTGGAACAAGCTGAAGCTATTTTGAAAGATGCTGCTCGGAAAAATGGCATTACATATCCTGGGCCAATATTTGATACAACATACAGTAGAATGGTAACTGTGTATCTTTGTTTATTTGTTCATGTTTTTCTTTGGCACTGCCTTATGCAGGGTTTAAGATCTTTTCAATGTGTTTTATACTTATTGCACACCATTTAGCGTTTTTGTTTTTAATGACTAACTTAAGAAAATAAGGATCCCGGACTGATTATTTCCAAACTGGAGGGAGTAAAGGAGAAGATGAAACAAATCCAGTAATGGTGATTAGGGTTCACCAAGTTTGTGTTAGCACTGTTAGGATAGAACATAGAACATAGAACTGTACAGCACAGTACAGGCCCTTCGGCCCACGATGTTGTGCTGAACTTTTACCCTAAACCTAAGGTCTATCTAACCTCCACCCCTACCTCATACTATCATTCAAATGCCTATCTAATAGCAGCTTAAATGACCCTACGAGGACGACTCCACTACCCTCTCTGGCATTGCATTCCATGTGAAGGATGTGCGCACCTTTTGGATTCATTTATTTCCTACTCTTTTCCCTCCAGGATCCTGTGGACAGGAATAGGCATGAACACAATTATTTGGATCTGATTATAAGAGCTGACAAAAGGAATGTCACAATCCTTTCTTTCTTTCTCTGGTGAGTGGAAAATTCATGAACAAAACCCTCCCAGCAAACTCCACAAGCAAGGCTTGCATATTCTGAAAGAACAGTAATCATATTACCCTGTTAGATTTCCCCTTTAAGTGAAGGATTCTCAAATGCATCCCCACAATTTCTTTGAAAGACATGGTGTAATGGAAGCATTGTTATGAGCAATTAAGGGAAAGGAGTGTAATCTTATTGGGAACTGAAAACCAGAAACCCTGGTGAGGAATAGCACAACCTATTTGGAGAGAGGCAGCCAATTGAGAGAATCCCGCAAAGAACATTTCATCTTTCTGTTCCTTAAAGAATGAACCATCAGTCATAAACAACAGGAACAAAATGACAACAACAACAAAAACAAAGTTGCTGGAAAAGTTCAGCAGGTCTGGCAGCATCTGTGAAGGAGAAAACAGAGTTAACGTTTCGGGTTCGGTGACCCTCAGAACTGATGGTGGCTGGGAAAACGTCGGTTTATATGCAGAAAATAGGGAGGTGGGTGGGGTAGGGAGTAAACAATAGGATAGAGCCCAAAGAGAGGGAAAGACAGTTGGACAGACAAAGGAGTTGCTAACGATCAGGCTGGGAGGGTGAGTAGTTGTTAATGGGGACTGTTAGTGACTAACAACAGGGGGTGTGTAATGGCAGGCTATGTGGTAACAAGGCCTGGTGTGTGGGGTGGGGGACTGGGACATGGGAGAGTTTAGGCCCTAAAATTATTGAACTCAATATTGAGTCCGGAGGGCTGTAGGGTCCTCAAGCGGAAAATGAGGTGTTGTTTCCCCAGCTTGCGTTGGACTTCACTGGAACACTGCAGCAAGCTGGAGACAGAGATGTTGGCCAGGGAGCAGGGTGGTGCATTAAAGTGGCAGGCAACAGGTAGTTCAGGGTCTTTTTTGTGAGCAGAAAGTAGATGTTCTGCGAAGCGGTCGCCAAGTCTATGCTTCATTTCCCCAATGTAGAGGAGACCACATTGTGAGCAGCGAACGCAGTAGACTAGATTCTGGGAAGTCCCATTTTGTCAAGTCACCTCGCAGCTTTTTTGGATGTTGTATAAAAATTCAAAGACCCTGAGAATTCAGTCCCAATACTTTTAGTACTGTTTGGGTCAAATATCCATGTACCATAATTAATACAGTGTCGAAAACAAGTTGAGCCAACTTGGCTTTAATCTTATTTATGTGAAGGAATTTTAGCTCACAAATCCTAATTTATAGTCTGAATTCAGAGGCACCACAGGCCTTAGATCTAAATGACCTGGTGTGATTGATTTTGTTTGCTATAAAGTGCTTTCATCTTCGCTACCTCTCTCTTTTGTAGATATTTAATGTAACACACAGCTAAGAAACTGTTACAGTGGCTGTTTTGTGGTGAACTCCTGCTGTGGAAAGATCCTTGCTTCCGGTGAAGATCTGTTATTCTGAGTCTGAATGGTTAACTAATAAAAACACATCTCTTCCTGCAGTGTACACATTATCAGAGTAAATTATGTGAGCAAATGATACAATTCCTCTTGCCTTTGATCTCAGGGAAAGTTCAGTTTCCTGGGTGAAACTATTCAGAAAATGTGAAGGATAAAGCAGAGTTAACGTTTTGGGTCCGGTGACCCTTCCTCAGAACTGTTCTGAGGAAGGGTCACTGGACCTGAAACGTTAACTCTGTTTTTTCCTTCACAGATGCTGCCAGAACTGCTGGGCTTTTCCAGCAACTTTGTTTTTGTTCCTGATTTACAGCATCCGCAGTTCTTTCGATTTTTATTCAGAAAATGTGGTCGACATCAGGATTACCAATCTTCACCATGTTAGTATAACTGTGATTTCTGAGCCTTTCCTGACAGGGTGGACAGTGGGTAACTTAGTCAGAGCCCATGGATGACATAGGCCCTACAATATTAACTGCCCCAGAAGGGCACTTTCCTGCTACCCACTACCATTGATGACTAAAATGCCTCTGGGGCAAGATTTTAAAGTTGACTTCTGCTTTTCTTGCACCATCTGGATCAAAGGGATGATTTTAGGGAGGAACAATGTGCAGAGGTAGTATAATCCAAATGGACTATTTTGATGAGGTGAAAGCAGAGGTATCTAGGTGCATATTCACAAATTTTAAAAGATCTGTTGATAAAGTGGTTCTGGAATACTTGGCTTTGTTAACCTATGCATTGAATACAAACAAAACCAAGGAAGTCATGCTAAAGTCATGCGTAGGAAGGGATGGTGGTCTACAAATCTAGAGGCCCAGACGAGTGGAATGGGTTTAACTTCCATCATGGGGGAATGAAAATTCATTTCATTAAAAAAAACTGGAATTGAATGCTGCTCTCAAGATCATGACCATAAAGTATAATTGAATATTGTAACAATCCAACCACTTCATTAATGCCCTGCCCAAAAGGAAATCTGCCATCCTTACCTGGCAGCAATACCCATGTCTCATGACATTTTCAAAATGTCTCAACAAATCTCTGGTTTGTACAAATCATTAGGCCTCAGGTGGAGTATTGTGTTCAATTCTGTGCAGCTCACTTTAGGAAGGTTAACAAGACCATTCAAAGAAAATAGAGGCGTCTAACAAGGAGAATAGGAATGATTAGAAGGTGCAGTTATGTGGAGAGACCTAACAGAGATATGGAAAGTGGAATAAGATTACTAAAATTCACATCTGTGCACTGTTATATATGGATGTAGAGGCTGAAATTTTAGAAGTATATTATAGAATCTCTATAGTGTAGAAGCAGGCCATTCAGCCCATCAAGTCCACACTAACCCTCCAAAGAGCATCCCACCCAGACCACCCCATCCCTGTAACCCTACATTTCCCATGGCCAATCCACTAACCTATACATCTTTGGACTATGGGAGGAAACTGGAGCACCTGGTGGAAACCCATTCAGGCACGGAGAATGTGTAAACTCCACACAGACAGTTGCCTGAGGCTGGAATCAAACCCAGGTCCCTGGTGTTATAAGGCAGCAGTGCTAACCACTGAACCACCGTACCGCACATGGCAGGGATAGAGGACAGAGAGTTGGGATAAGGATGGCATTTCAAGGTGGCAATCTGTAACGAGTGGAGTGCCACAGGGATCAGTGTTCAGGCCACAATTATTTACAATATGTATTAATGACTTGGATGAAGAAAGTGAATGTTGTGAGCGATTGTATTATGACTCTTTTTAACTAACTCACTCATAAGGACTCTATGTTTACTATATCGCGTTTCCATTCACTCATTCAAAAAACTGCGCTCTTGTAGTACATTTTACTCTTACAAGATAAACTAAATTAAACATCCCTTCTATCCCATTACTGTTTCTTTACACCTTTCCATTCTTTTTGGCCCTGTACTGCAAGCAGTGTTTCAACCTGTTTCAGGCTACCCCTGAATAAGTGTTAATACCAGAACAATGCCAACCCCGCCATCGGATCTCCATAACTCACTTGAAACTATGGAAAGATTATAATATTAATTAGCCCATAGTAACCATCTTTCGGGACCTAAGTAGGTTGCAGGACATCAGTTTCCTCCACTAGCATGTCCCTATGGTCTGCTGCTGTTTATCTCTTTGAAATTTCCTTATACACTACCTCTTTCAATAACACTATACTATCTATTTCTAACTTTTATTTAGGACTACCTTCTTGTACTAACATACGGATTTATAGTTTTTTAAATACATATTAAACAGGGCCGCTACCCCCTTTAAGAAATTTACAATCAAAACAGCGCTTCTGTGAAATTGCATGAATGAATGTGTAAGAACTGTCAAAACCAGCAATAGTAAATGAAATCTCATGACCCAGCTGTGGGAGATCAGTTTAGTATCCTCTATACTTTTATTTAGTACATGTATAATTTCTCACTTATTTAGATCATATAGGTCTAGTATTTATACTAACATTACTAACTTAAAAGACAAGATGACTAGGACCTCTTAATTATGCAAACCTCAGACCAGACAGCCATTCTAATCCCATCAGGACTAACAGTCTGCATTTAGCAAATGGTTAAACCATCTCCTGCTTCCCCCAGGACACATGTCACGCAAACCTGTGTACAATAGATACAGCTAAGTGACACCATAGTGTAAAATTTTAATGTATGCAATAACTGGATATAAAAGAGGCTACTGTAAAACTAAGACAACAAGGTGCAGGGCTGGATGAACACAGCAGGCCAAGCAGCATCATAGGAGCAGAGAGGCTGACGTTTCGGGCCTAGACCCTTCATCAGAAAAGGGGGAGGGGAAGGGGGTTTTGAAATAAATAGGGAGAGAGTGGGAGGCGGATAGAAGAGGAATAGAGGAGAGGATAGGTGGAGAGGAAACAAACAGGTCAAAGAGGCGGGGATGGAGCCAGTAAAGGTGAGTGTAGGTAGGGAGTTAGGAAGGGGATAGGTCAGTCCAGGGAGGACGGACAGGTCAAGGGGGCGGGATGAGGTTGGTTGGTAGGAGATGGAGGTGCGGTTTGAGGTGGGAGGAGGGGCAGGAAGTGCTACACCTGCCCCCATGCCTCCTCCCTCACCCCCATCCCAGGCCCCAAGAAGACTTTCCACATCAAGCAGATGTTCACCTGCACATCTGCCAATGTGGTATACTGCATCCGTTGTACCCGGTGTGGCTTCCTCTACATCGGGGAAACCAAGCGGAGACTCGGGGACCGCTTTGCAGAATACCTATGCTGTGTTCGCAACAAACAACTGCACCTCCCAGTCGCGAACCATTTCAACTCCCCCTCCCATTCCTCAGACGACATGTCCATCCTGGGCCTCCTGCAGTGCCACAACGATGCCACCCGAAGGTTGCAGGAACAGCAACTCATATTCCGCTTGGGAACCCTGCAGCCCAATGGTATCAATGTGGATTTCACAAGTTTCAAAATCTCCCCTCCCCCTACCGCATCCCAAAACCAGTCCAGCTCGTCCCTGCCTCCCTAACCTGTTCTTCCTCCCACCCATCCCCTCCTCCCACCTCAAGCCGCACCTCCATCTCCTACCGACCAACCTCATCCTGCCCCCTTGACCTGTCCGTCCTCCCTGGACTGACCTATCCCCTTCCTAACTCCCTACCTACACTCACCTTTACTGGCTCCATCCCCGCCTCTTCGACCTGTTTGTTTCCTCTCCACCTATCCTCTCCTCTATCCCTCTTCTATCCGCCTCCCACTCTCTCCCTATTTATTTCAAAACCCCCTTCCCCTCCCCCTTTTCTGATGAAGGGTCTAGGCCCGAAACGTCAGCCTCTCTGCTCCTATGATGCTGCTTGGCCTGCTGTGTTCATCCAGCCCTGCACCTTGTTGTCTCGGATTCTCCAGCATCTGCAGTTCCTACTATCTACTGTAAAACTACTTTGGATTCCATCGCCACCTCAAACTGTGCTACTGTGGATGCTCAATAAAGAGGCTATTTTCGCTTCTCACCCATCCTGCTCATTTTTGAACATAATCCCACAATGTACTACAGCCAGGTTCGTAGAAGGCACAGAAATAGGTAGGAAGGCAAATAGTGAGGGTAACACAAAGAGTCTGACATAGACAGGTTAAGCGAGTCGACAAGAACTTGACAGATGGAATATAATGTGGGGTAATGTGAGGTTATGCCCTTTGGCACGATGAGTAGACGATCTGAATATTATTTAAATGGAGAAAGATTGCAGGAAGCTACAGAACAGAGGGATTTGTCAGCCCTCAGCCACAAATTACAAAAAGCTAGCATCTAAGTTCATCAGGTAATAGGAAGGCAAATGGAATGTCGGCCTTCATTCAAAGGGAATGGAGTAAAAATATAGGGAGATTTCACTAAAACTATACAAGGCACTGGTCAGACCACGACTAGAATACTGTGAATAGTTTTGGGACCCTTATCTAAGGAAAGACTTACTGGCATTGGAGGTACTGCCTCCTTTCCAAAATGCAAATTGATTGAATTTTACATCTAGTATAAAAGGGAGGATAGTGGGTCTAACACGTATTTTAAACTGAAATAAGGGCAACTTTGTAGGGAATGAAAGCTGAGCTACTAGTAAAGCCTTTGTACTTCTATATCTTTCTACTTCAGTTATTATAAACTTAAAGCAAAATAAAATCAGGCCAATCAGCCTAATTGATTTGTGTCAACCTCCACATGAGCATCTTTCAGCCACATCATGGCCTTCTATTTGTCTCTTGCTCATACATCTATCCAGCTTCCTCTTAAATACATTTGTGTTGTTCATCTTAAGCACTCCTTGTACTAATGAATTCTACAGTCTATCCACACTCCAACTTAAGAATTATATAGATTGTGCAGCGCAGAAAGATATCAATTGTCTTAACCAGTCTGTGCATGTGTTCTCCACTTGAGTGGTTCCTCCCATCTTATTTCCATCCAACTGTATCAGTTTCGTGCTCTATCCCCTTCTCCTTCAAACCTTCACCTGGCCCCCCCATTACTGGATCTATGGAGTTCTGCATTTTCACCACTCTGTGCAAAGGAATTTCTCGTGCATTCCTCTTTGGATTATAGCGATTATCTTATTTTTGTGGATCTTAGTTTAGGTCACCCCTGAAAGTGGAAACACTGCAACCTAAAAGCTTTGGTCATTTTGACAAGAGAAATATTCTCCAGTATTTGAATGGTACTTAATTACAAGTGCATTCCTCAGCCTTGCAATCACTAGTTCATTTAACGTATTGGATTTTTTTGACATTAAAATTTTAACAATTGAGTGCAGAGGTGATATATCCATCTTAAGAGATTACAAGGAGCTCTCAGGCATTTCACTTCCATTCATATGAAGAGGAATTTAAAACATTTGCAGTGAAGAGCAGTGTGTATTCTTTCTTTGCTGTCACTTCATGGGATGAAAGTGAATAAAAGAGGTTCTTCATTCTCCCCCAGTTCAAGTAGAGCATGCAGACAAGTTAAGCCTTTTTAAGGGGAGTCTTTTTCCAGAAAAAACGAATCCAGCTGATTTTTGTTTTAAATCTTGAAAAATAGGCTTCTGAACCTGGATTTTAGGACAACAAAAATATTTTCACTCAGAAATAAGGTTGTCACCTGCGATTAAGTCTATTTCTGGAGATTTCATCACATGACTTGTACCCACACACCAGTCATTTGTCAGCCAACACATCCATTGTTGTGAAGCACTGCCTTTCTGCACCAATCGGAAAGCAAAAAAAAAACTCATTGCCTGTTTGTCAGCTACTTTTTACCCCTTTTTTTAGATCGGTGAGTGGTGAGGGTGGGTTAGCACAGTGAACCGCTCAGTTAGTGAGATGACTAGAGTACAGTGCAGGATAAAGTCAACAGCACAGGTTTAATCCCAATATTGGTCATTTTGTTCATGAAGGCCTTTCCTGCTTGCTTTGTCCCATGCTTACCCTCAAATTGTACAAAATCAATTGTCTCCCTTTAATAGAGAGAACTGTCTAATGGACAGACGTGTGGACTATGGTAATTAACTTTCTATATTGACAAAGAGAAATATTCAAAGAAAATAACAAACAAAAAAAAAATCTTGTTAATGTCTCTATTTTTCTCCAGGCTTGCACACAGTAGCATCCTGGAGACTGAAGTTCAATTTCTATAGATTCCAGGTTCCTAACTGGGCAGCAAATAGAGACGGCTAGAGATAGCAAGAACTGCAGATGCTGTAGTCAGAGATAGCACAGTGTGGAGCTGGAGGAACACATGCAGACCAGGAAGCATCAGAGGAGCAGGAAAGTTGACGTTTCAGGTCGGGACGCTTCTTCAGAAATGGACTAATTCATATGCCTTTTCCTGTAAGATTGAGCTCGTGTACTATGGTATCACAGAGTTACTCAGTATTTGCCTTTTCTTGCCTTTATCAGATTCCTTCCTGTTGACAGTTACAGATTTGTCCTTTTTCTACGCACACATTCAGAATCCAAAACAGATTTACATGTTCAATGTATGTGATGCAGCTTGTTGAACTCTGGAATTTTCTTGTGGTCACTTTTATTAGTCTGGTCCCTTTCCAGGTTCCAACTCCATGTTACCAAGTGCACAAGCTTAATCTTACAGATATGGCTGATGAACTAGCTGTCTCTATGTTTTCTGTCCACTTAGGGACAGTGGTTGGTCTGTGGATAAGGGAACTGAGCAGTGCACTCTGACATATATTGTGGTGGAGTTCACCAGAACCATCCGAGATGCCATGGGTAGATGCACCACTACCAATCCTTACAATTGGTAGTAGTCTACGTTTCTGATACCAAGTGGGCGAGGATGCCCACATCGGTCTTCAGCAGAAGACTGGTTCAGTCTTGTTAAGCAGAATTGGTCCAGTTGCATAGCACGTACGAGCTAATTACTTACATCTGAGTACATGATTGGCCTTTCTGAAATTGCAGGCTAGACTTAAGATTAAACACAGATTATTGTTTATCCATATGATGCTTGGCATTGGTGACTAGCTCCTCTCACCAGTAGTCTCTGATGACTGGAATTTACCCCAAAATGTCAGTCACCCCTTTCAGGTACCAATTATATTATACAACATGGTCTACAGCAATGGGGACAGCAGCACTCTCATTGTGTTCAGAGAGAGTAATATTGAGGTTCAAGGTATGGGAGGTGGAGGGAAAGGCTACAGCCACAGTATCAGCGAAGGGAAGAACTCATTAGACCCATAATATCTGGGGAAATCCATTTCCAGGAATTCCACACTCAGTAGCCAGGCTGTGATGTGGGAACACTATAACTTCGCCATCTTCTGCCAGGAGTAATTTTTCCCTTTATTTGTAACATAACCTCACCTCCTTCTATGTAGCTGCTTCCTCCTGTTTGTTAGCGTATACACAATTTTTGACTCCATTTCTTCTTCCCAGCAGGAGTTTGAGATGAAACCAGAATGTTTGTAACCTGAGACAACAAGGTGCAGGGCTGGATGAACACAGCAGGCCAAGCAGCATCATAGGAGCAGAGAGGCTGACGTTTCGGGCCTAGAGGGTCTACCCTGAGACATCTGTACTCTCGAAATCTGACCTCTTGTGTTATCCTCAATTTTAATCACGCCATCATTGGTGGCTATACCTTTAGTTCCCTAGGTGCTAACTCTGAAATTCCTGCCCCTCCCACCCATCTTTCTACTTTGCTTTCCCATTTTAAGAAAGTCATTAAAGGCTACCCCTTTTACCCACTGTCTGGCAACATCAGACCTGTCTCTTTCTGGGGGTTGCTGTCATATTTCATTTTATATTGCTCCTGTAAAGTGCCTTGCAGCATTTTACTACATTAAATGCTGGAGGATTGCTGGGAACCACTGTTCTGCTGTCATTACTGCGTTAAACATCTCCATTTCTAGGTTAATTGCATTCCCATAGCTGGTGGTTGAGTTGCTGTCATGACTGCACAGCCGTCTCTGGGAAAACTATGTTTCGGTGACGTGGGGACACATTGGGAGACAGTCCGGTTGCTTTATTTCTGAGACCCCACCCAGCCAAGCCAACCCCATGACTGGTTTACTGTCAAGTTTACTTTAACACTCAGGCCTGATACTGACATTAGGGGTCAGAGGATTTATCAGAGGATTTATTTGTTCCACAACTGCAAACTTTTCCAAAGGTCCCCCAATACAGAACATTTACAATATTTTACTTATTATACCTGTTGGAGAGAAAACAGTTCTGTGATGTTAGCATCAATTTTTCTGTTGGTGGATACTATAGTTGATCAGCGTAATAACCAGATGAAGTTACCCCATTGTACTACAGGCTGGGTGACAAATTTCCATGACTGATCTGCCATCAGGGTATAAATGATCTGACTTTGTTGTACATTTGACAGATTATGAACAATAATTTATTTTTTTCTCTCGTAGGATGATTGGTAGCATTGGATACTATGGACTATCCCTCAATACTCCCAACATGCATGGGGATCCCTACATCAACTGCTTCATCTCTGCGGCCAGTGAACTCTTGGTATCTGTGATTGTCTGGTGGTTGATGCGAGCCTCACCTCGACGGATCACCACTGCTTCTATGTTCATACTTAGCGGAGGTGTTCTCCTTCTGGTCAAGTTTGTTCCTTCAAGTGAGCATAAAAATAACACATTTTATTTTAAACACAGGTTTTCAATCTTCCTCAGTGGGCTGATGAGGTCTTTGCAGTTCTCTCATAAGTTCTGAAATGCTCTTCTTCTGAAGGTCTTGGCTTAGCTCACCATTATCAGTCTGCAGCAAACTTTCTAGCTCTTTGCTGTATCTCAGTAACTAACTCCCCATATGTCCCCCACTGCACCTCTGCAGACACCTACCCTGGTCAGGGCTTGGCAACTTTCATAGAAAGAATAGCTAGTTTGTAAAATTTAGTCATAAATGCAATATCTGAAGAGCTGCAATGCTATTACTCAACTGCCAGTAATAGCGAACAACAAAACAGACACATTTATTCATTTCTTCCAGGTTTTGGGAGGAAATGCATCTTAATAAATAATGCAATAAAAATACCTTACAATGTGAGCTAGTATTTTTGGAACAAAGTGAAAAGTCTCTCTTATTTATCTCTCTTTCCCTTTCATACTAGATGTGCCATCTTTAGTGGTTTTGATTATATTAACGGAATGGTTCATCTATAGGCAATTAACAATAGCTGAGAAAATTTCTTCTCCCTTTCACCTTTAAGGGGCATGAAGTCAACAAACTCCTCTTATGTTTGAATGATGAAGGCCTGAAGCCACATGAGTCACAACTTACTGCCCTAAGTCCCCATTAACTCTTCAACCAACACCTTAGGATCAACTTCCTAAGATTTCATTGTATCTATATAATCCTTAGAACTCTACTACAAAAGTATAGGTTTCCATTGAATCCTCTGCAACTAATTAACTAGGTGCTCATTGCATTCAGGTGACTAAATCGTTGGGTCCTCACTGTGTCTATGCAGCCAGTCCACCACACTTCAGTATATCCTATTTCTCTATATACCCTATATATTTTTATACATACACATTCAGCAGCTGCCAACTTATTTCCCTGCTCCACTAGTTTTTCCATAATAAGCAATTTAAATTATTTCCCAGTGATTTATGCATGTTGAAGGCATTGATATTTCGCTAAGATAAATGGGTACAATGCCACCAAATAAATTGCGATGCACAGCAGAATCCTAAACAGCTAGGAATTACATGATACAGAGTTAATAGAAGTTGGGTGGAGATTACCAGGCATGCAATGTTGAATTGATTTCCATCAGCTTAAAGGAAGGAAATTCTACCCTCTCTTGGAGTGGTTTATTTTTGATCTGCATTTTTGTTTTAAATAGAATAAATTCCAAACCGTTTGATTCAAACAAACAATTTTGAATTAGCTTTCAATACATGCTAACTATTGATTAATTTGGTTTTGACAGCTCTTCAAATTGTGATCACTCTATTGTTGATAATTGGTAAATCTGGTGCTACAGCAGTCTACACAATCATCTATATTTTCACATCTGAATTGTATCCAACTGTGGTGAGGAATATGGGGCTTGGGGCATGCTCCATGGCTTCCAGAATTGGCAGCATCATCTCCCCATATTTTGCATATCTTGGTAAGTGAAAAACTTAAACTTTACGTGAGCATTGAAAATGATTTAGTCGTGACTTTTGACAAGAAACTTTAAGGTAGCAGTCGGCCAACTGTGGCATCAAGGACCCCCAGCAAAACTGGAATCAGTGGGTATCAGGGAGCAAATTCTCTGGTGGTTGGAGTCATACTGGCACATAGGAAGATGGTTGTGGTTGTTGGTGGTCAATCATCTCAGCTCCAGGACATCTCTGCAGGAGTTCCTCAGGGCAGTGTCCTAGGCCCAACCATTTTCAGCTGCTTTAACAATGACCTTCCCTCCATCATAAGGTCAGAAGTGGGGATGTTTGCTGATTATTGCACAATGTTCAGCACCATTCATGACTTCTCAGACACTGAAACAGTCCAAATTCAAATGCAACTAGATCTGGACAATAAAAGTGGCAAGTAACATTCACACCACACAAATGCCAGGCTATGACCATCACCAATAGGAGACAATCTAACCACTACCCCTTGACATTCAATGGTGTTACCATCACTGAATCCCGCATGATCAACATCTTGGCAGACATCATTGACCAGAAACTCAACTGGACTCACCACATAAACACAGTGGCGACAGGAGCAGGTCAGAGGCTAGAAATACTGCAGCAAATAACTCAGCTCCTGACTCCCCAAAGTCTGTCCATCATCTACAAGGCACAAGTCAGGGGTGTGATGGAATGCTGTCCACTTGCTTGGATGAGTACAGCTCCAACAATACTCAAGAAACTTGACACCATCCAGGACAAGCAGCCCATTTGGTTGGCACTACATTCTCAAGCATTCACTCCCTCCATCACTGATGCTCAGTAGCAGCGTGGAGTACTATCTACAAGATGCTCTGCGGAAATTCACCAAAGCTCCTCAGAAAGCACTTTCCAAACCCACGACCACTTCCACCTAGAAGGACAAGGGCAGTAGATATATGGGAACACCACCACATTCAAGTTCCCCTCCAAGCCACTCACCTTTCTGACTTGGAAATATATTATCATTCTTTCACTGTCGCTGGGTCAAACTCCTGGAACTCCCTCCCTAATGGCATTGTGGGTCAACCTACAACAGGTGGACTGCAGCGGTTCAAGAAGGCAGCTTAACACCACCTTCTTAAGGGCAACTAGGGACAGGCAATACAAGCTGAAAGAACTGCAGATGCTATAAATCAGAGACAAAAATAGAAATTGCAGAAAAGCTCAGCAAGTCTGGCAGCATCTGTGGAGAGAAATCAGAGTTGATGTTTCGGGTCAAGTGACCCTTCCTCAGTTCCCCAGTTCTGAGGAAGGGTCACTCGACCCAAAATGTTAACTCTGTTTTCCCTCCACAGTTTTGCCAGTCCTTGCTTTTCCAGCAATTGCTATTTTTGTCTCTGACAGGCAATAAATCTGGGTCAGCCAACGATGCCAACATCCCACAGACGGATTTTAAAAAAGGTCCATTTATTAGTGATAATTAAGAGGATTAATCGGTTAAAGGGATACTAGTAAGTACATGACTTGAAATTGACTAGCAGGATTCACTGATAAAGTTAGATGATGGAAGTTGGGAGGCAGATGATGTGAAGCATGGACATCAGCATATATCCGTTGTGTAAATGTGCTGTAAAATTCTAGGCAATTATGTCTCAGATATGAATGAAATATTTATAAGATAAACAAGTAAGGAACAAGAAAATTGCATTCATCTACCGAACAAGTAAGTCATTTGCTTCCCTAGATCCTCTTTGCTTTGACAGACCATGTGCAAACTCCTCATGTCTCTAAATGATATTCCTAACCTATTAGAAAGTGCTGGAGAAACTCATTAGGTCTAGCAGGATCTGTGAAGAGAGGAACAGAATTAACAGCTCACATTCAGAAGGTTCATATTGGGCTTACTCTGTTTCTCACTTGATAGGTGTTATCAGACCTGCCAAATTTCTCCAGCATTTCCTGCTTTTATTTCATATCTTTAACTTCTACACTACTTGAATTTTATTCAATTATTAATCAATTTGGAATGAACTGCTTTTACTTGACATCTGCTTCACCCATCCAAACAGGGAAGCAATACTCCAAGGGAATTTTGATTGGAAGTAAAATGAGGACATTGTGACTAATTCTCTGAACACACACACACACACACACACACACACCCACACACCCACACACACCCACACACACACACACACACACACACAATCGCAGCATTGGCTCTAAACTGTTTCCCAATCAATAGATGCATTTGAAGCATGACAAAATATGTTTATCCTGTAACCTTAGTTCCACCGTGTAATTAGTTTACAAGCATAGTTTATAAGTTAGTTTACAAGTTGTGGTATATCTTCAAAACAATGCCAATTGGAGTCTGGCAAGCACACCGTGACACAACTTCAAGAAACTAACTTTGTCGCTTGGGCAGTGTAGCTTCAGTGTACTTTCAATTCTGGTTTATAAAGCCTTGCTGAACATGTTTGAACCCTGATTTCTATAAATGTATCAAGATTGCAGGCATTCTTATCTGTGCTTTTGACACATTTAAGAGCTGGGAGTGGTACCGTATGCATATGTTTAATCAGGTGTTCCCAGCGACCGTTGTTTGCTCAGACCGTACACTTGCATCCAGAGATTATCAACAAGTTGCTGCTCGCTGCAAATTGTTGCTGTACCAGACCAGAATCCCTCCCCGCAAACCCCCAACCGTAAGTTTGATTACGTTCTTGTTAGGAAACCAGTCACTTTTTGATTAAAACTAGGCAAACTTTGGTAGCCTAGGTATTTTCTTAGAGAATAAAGCCTCAAAATTCGATAGTTTTAAATAACCAAAAATAAATTTTATTACACAAAGTCATAGAAATAAAAAATGTACAATGTCTATCTTACACTCTAACATCCAAAATTAACAGGCAACCAACAGGCAGATTGCAGACAAACACACCTCAGCGCACAATAAATGACAGATATGACATGAGATAGACCCCACAGATTTGTCCAAAACCCACCCAGGCATCAGTGAACCCTGTGAGTTATGAAATCTCATGAACACTCATGAAGGATCATCAAATCTTCTCTTCTGATTTTCCTCAAAGGCATCTCCAACTCAAACTGCTTTAACGACTGGTCATTTCTAGGTGATTCAGTCTCTTTTCCTGAAACTAAATCCTACTGAAATGCTGAGTCTGCACTCCAGCATTTACTCCTGGGCATCATTTCAGGTCCTTCGTAGACAATTAGCTTCACTATGCTGGCACTGCCCATAGATAACTCCAAACTCCAGGCTTCTAGCTGTACTGAGGTCTCAATGACTTCCAATCCCTAGCCCTCTCCAGCGACCTTCCACATCTGTCACCTTACCCTTTCTCAGCTCCCAGGGACTCTTTAAGTCCCCAACTCTCTGGACCCAGCAAACAAGATTACTTTCACTGTTTGGAACCTCTCCCTCTGCTTCTCTCCTGGTTCCAGCTCAGTCACAGCACTCCTTCTCTTTATAGCAAGGCACATTCCTGGGGCCCATGGTTGTTGTTTTAGTATCACACCAACATGCAGGTGCACTCTTGTCTGGATGATGGAGCCCTTCAGCGGTAAAGAGGAAACTGGAACAGAGTATGCACATCCTGTCTCATTGCCGCATTCCGTACTTGTGCCAAAACTCTTAGGCCTACTGGGAAAAGTCCTCGGTCTCCACTCTGAATGAAAGTAAGTCACATTTGCAATGGATACAATAACTATCAATCTGAAATTTACACTTACAGTACAACTGCACACTTGTTTTCACATTTTTTACAGCACCAGTGGAATACTGTGCATATGCCTCAGGATTGTAAAGACTTGAATGATGCCTTCCCTTCAATGAAAAGAAGTTAACTGTTTTCATGTCTTCAAACCTAGGGAATGATCTTTGTCACACTTCTCTGTAGTGGATTGGTATCCTTTTCACAAGAAGATATGCCAGAAGTGCCACAGAATATTGAAAATGTGGCTTTAGCAATGATCAATACCTGGCTGGAATAATTTGTTATAATATTATTATGAACAGCCTTCAAAATACAACCTGATCTTTCAACATTCAATGTGGCCGAATACCTTCAGGGTGTAATCAATAATGATATCCAAATCCTTGCTTATAGTTCCTTTGGAAATGTGCTTTTATTTTATACTTTTGGTGCATTTGTTTAAACTCCATACTCGCAAGATGTACCCAATGAAACTCATGTTTCCTGAAATTAAGTTGAATAATTTAAGAGAACAAGAGATATCTTTTTGATGTTGCAAATATTTATAATCACCTCCCTCATGTAACAACATCTTGTGTTTATATAGTGCCTATAATGCAGGAAGTCATTAGATACCCATCACAACTGTGTAATCAGGGAAAAATTGGCTCAGAGCCCAAGAAGGGGAGATTAGCAAGTGGTGGGTTTGAAAATGTAACTTTGGATGGAAAGGGAAATGGTTAGAAGTCATTAAGAGCTAGGTGCAGCTGGGAACCTGGAATTTGGAGTTATCTATGGGCAGTGCCAGATTAGGGAGGGAAGTCTTTAGCTCAGGACTTAGAAAGCTGAAGGCACAGCCACTAATGGCAGGGAGCGAGATACAGGGAATGGATAAAAGCTTGCAGTTGGATGAATGCAGATTTCTCAGAGAGATGTAGGGCTGAAGGAGGTTCTGGAGATAGAGAAGAGTGAGTTCATGGAGCAACTTGAACATGAGAACACAAATTTTAAAGCAAACTGAGGCGAGAATGGGAGCCAAAGTAAGTCAGTGAGTATGAGGGATGAAAGGAACTTGATAAGAGTCACAATTTGAACAGTAGTACTTTGGAAGCTCTCAAGATTATGAAGGATGCAACATGAGCAGTCAGTAATATGTCCTTAAAATTTGGTGATCAGGAGTTAATTACAATGCTGTAAAACTTTATCATTAATTATTTTAAATTATACATGTACAGTGGCTAGTAAAAAGATGCATCTGCATGATTTCTTTGTCAATTTTCTCCCTCCTCTCC